AATTCAGCAAAAGCAGCACACGTATTGACAGAGCGGTGATGATGATGGCACAGCGCTAAGCTGGGATGCCCACTTGAACTGTTTGTGGGCTTCAAAGTCTCAGGTTTTCCCCCCTTAGCCTATTCAAACTCAGTTTCCCTGTGCAATAAGATGCAGTACATAAGTATTGCCTCTGTGGTGTGAGAAGACTAAGTCAACTTTCATGAACAGTGATCATTAAGAGGAGGAGAAAAAAAACCCCACAGCCAGCACTTCATTCAAAGAGCTGTGATCTGCTGAAGCCGTAAGGCTAAAAGCCTGATGATTTTAACAGGGTAGAATGGAGATAAGGAGTTCTCCTGAAGGGTCTTTGATTCTGGAGCTGACCTTCCCTCTCTATTAGTCCTCCCTACAGCACAGACTGTCTTATCTTCAAAACATATTCAAACACTTCTCTTTCCAGCTTTTCAGCAGAGGTAATTAACCAAATTTTTAAGACTTTTCTCTGGTGGTGATGTGGATCATATTACTAAGTTGAACATCCTTATTAATAATGGTTTACAATACTTATGTGTCCAGATAGACACATTATAAGTACAAATAATTGCACATTGTGAATATAAATTGCATTAAGATTCTTCTTTTTGTTTTACATTTATATCTATGTATTCTACTCCATCAAAATACTGGACTGAAAGATTGTAGAGTAGTTTACTTAAGATCAGCATAGTGCACTGCAGCTTTCCTTTTCAGAATCCTTTAACTTGGTTTTCATATTGCTTGCACTATTTTTAGAAAAATGGTGAAGTGTCTTGCCTTCCCCCTTCCTTACATATCCTTGCTCTTCTCTCTTTTTCTTTAGCATGCAAACCATAAAGCTGTAAGGGACTTCTGATAGTGAAGAAACTCAAACACTGGGTCTTGAAATGTATTTTTCCAGAAATCACTTTTCTTAGTGCTCCATTTGTTATGATTTTCAGTTACCATTTTGTGTAGATTGGGAAATTTGTTATTCATCCTGTTCACAAATGGTGAAAAGACTAGATGAGCAACTTCTAAACAGCACTCACTTCATCTCTTGCTGGGTCTTCACTCTGTGAGGAACAGAAACAAGGACTAGGGCTGAAATAATACTGATAGTGTGAAGGAGGACTGTCAAAGAGGAATTAATCAATACAATAAGGTTGGACAGGCCTTCTGTAGGACTGGAATCTGTTTCCCGAGGAGTCCTTAGCTGTGTGAACATTGAGGTCAGCAAGCTAGCCTGTCCAGGGAAATCAGTTTGCAGCAAGTTAAGTTTGAAATTTTGGTGCAATGGAAGCTCAGTATTTTTTAAATAAGAGCTAGTCTCCTTTGCTCTCAGTGCAAAAAAATTTATCTTGTGGGAAGAAGCACTCAGCACACGTTGAGAGTGTCTGCACACAGAGCTGGTGTGGAAGCCTAACTTCCCACTGTGTAAAGAAGACTTGCATCTTCAGCCTCCTCCACCAACCCTTCCCCTAGAAGAGAACTCTAAGGAACCCCGTGTGGGTCACTGTAAAGTTTCTTGTAAACTCTCTCCATCTTTTATAAGGGTTATTGAGACTATTATATAACATTGATATAATCTTAAACAAGCTTGGTAATATGCCTGATTTGGTACTGGCTTGAATCTTGCGTAGTCACTGACACCTCCACAAAGAGAGTGCCACTTAAGAATTATCCACTTTCCTAGAACAGTGATAGGATTTTGCAATCAGTGGTACTCTTTGCACAACATTAAATAAGTGAACAGTGTGCAAAGAAGGAGAAAGTCATCCTTCATATTTTTTGCTGCTGTGTGAGAGTCAGTGGGCCAAATTCTAGATTTGATTTCCCCACTAGAAAATCTGGATAACTATGCTTATATAGTTGCAATTTCCATACAAGTTAGGACTTGACTCTTCTTACAAATCAGGATATGAACAGTTCTCATAAGCAGAATCACTTGTAATGGTGGTTTAAATTATTTAATTTTTGATTCCTTCATACAACAGTTAAAAATACAGTTAATCCAGTCTGCCACAGACTTTCATCTTTTAATTTTATTTCACTTTTGATATTTTCTTTTTCTTCATTTCAAGTAACTCATGTTTATTTGGATACAGCAAACTAGGATCAGGCCCTCCATATCCATTTCCATTCCACTTTTAAAAGTCAGTTATGGGCTACTTCTATGATTTCTTGCCACTAGAAACAGTATCCACTAATGTAAGCAGTTGTAGTCCTATTAAAAATATGACAATACAGCTTAACAGGATTGGGCCTGTAGTTCACCAGGAGCAACAAATCTTGCTGTATTCATCTTCCGAGGTCGTTTGGAGGTATGATACTTGCATTTCCTTTCATGAGGTTACAGTACAGGTTAGAGAAGCACTGTCTCTTACCGTTTCGACTGCTGATTAAGGTGGGAGGGCAATGGGAGCTTCAGCTGAACTTTCCTCTCCTGGGCTGCTATTAGCTTTTTAAAACCAGGATATTAACAGCTTCTCCAAAAGGTCTAAACACTGATTTAGCATCTAGGTGACTCCTTCTGAGGATGCTCACAAACCAGAGAGTATGTATATGCAGACAAACAGGAATATGTCCATACAGAGAGTGAACCGGTGCTTCTGTGGTGCGAAAGGATGGTGCAGAGTGGAAGTTTTACAGCTCCACGCACCCTGTGCATACACACATAGCTTTTACATAAAGAGACAAAGATATCTTTATCCACACGACAGATAGACAAACAGACTGACTGACTTCAAACTTGCACTTTCAGTAGGGATTTTTTCCCCCCCCATCTCCGGGTACTGCTTTTCAAAATTGCCTGAGGCTACAGTACAGCACCTCAGATCCCCAAGGCCCATTGCCTGGCTCCTAATAGCCACTCTCCATCTGTGTCACATGAACAGCTGATGAGATAGCTCCAGTGTCTGTATTTTGGAGAGCATATCCACCCAGGTTAAAATGCTGGGGTTGCCAAGGAGCAGTCAGAAGCCATTAGTGTTTGTGAGAATTTGCCTTGCAGCAGTTCCTTGGCATAGTGGAAAGTGTGTGTGTGTGTGTGTGTGTGTGTGTGTGTGTTGGTTTGAGAGAGAGAGAGAGAGAGGGGTAGGGTGGAATATATGGGGGGAGAGAGCAACGGAAAGGAGCACTTTCTAAATAACCAACATCTTGCAAAAGTGAACAGTTGGTTGCAGTGTTTAGGGTTTCCATAATCTCTTAGATTAGTTTGCTGTGATTCAACTCTCTTTTCTCTATCGTTAACAGAAACAAACAAAAAAAAAAAAAAAAAGGCATGAGAAAGAGAGCAGCGACTTCAGGGTCTTGCTCTGGTGTTTGGGCAGATGGAAGGGAGCTGCTCTGCCTTGGGGCAGGGTGGTTGTAATGAAGTGGCCTGTCAGTCTGTAAATAGTGAGGGTCATCTCTTCCATGTGATGGAGGGTATCACATTGCAGTGAAAATGGAAATGTCAATAAAATTAATCTGCCAGCTCTTTGCTGTGGCTTTTTCTGTCTCTCTGGTCCAAAAGGGTTGGTTTTTCAGAGGGGAGGCAGTGGAAGAAGGGTGATCTGGCACAGGAGGGAAGATGGAGCTGAAATGCAAGTTTTGAAGCAAATGGACTGTATGTTGCAGCAACGTATTTCGTTTAGTAGCACTACAGAGCTAGACAAGGCTATAGGAATTAGCTCGTGAATCTATAGCATTCCTCAGGAAGCTATGGAGCGTCTAGCTCAGGCTACATTGAGCACAGAGTTTATTGTTTTAGGCTTTCTTGGACAAGGTTTTTACTTAGCATGGGATTTATGGCATTTACTGCTAATGAATGTCTATTCTTAAATTACAAAAACCACCGTCTCAGCACAATTCCCAGATGTCCTTCCAGGACCTCGGCTTCTTAAACACCAGCAGGGAGCATAAACTCTCCACTTCTCTGTTTTCCTCTTTCGTGTGGCTCCGGGCTAATGATGTGTAAGGAAAACACAGCAATCTATAAAGTCTCAGTGCTGTCCCAGTATTCTTCATTTATTTTGCATTTGATTATGCCACAAGTCGGATCTTGTTTCTTTCCTTTTTTTAAAGTTATTAGTTCAAATATTAATGTAGGAATATGGCATATATTGCTGCTCTTGATTGATGCCTTCCCAAAAACAGGAAGACGTGCTCGTATGAATTTTAAGAAAGTAGGGGTCCTGCAATGCCTTGCCAGAAGAGTTTTTCAGATACATAATTTAGATGCCCTCCAGGCAGGCTTTCAAGGCATTTTTGCTGGAGGGCAAGAAAAAATAACTATGACTGTTAAAAGTAAATGATTTTTGCTAATGCACAATTAATGCCAGGGAAAAGCACAGAAGAGAAAGATGTTGATGGAAAGTTCTGATTAAGTGAGAGCTCTACCTTGATGTGCATCTTTTTTTTTAATGATAATAATCAGTGATGCAGAGATGTAGAAGTTTTCATGTCATGCAAATGCTATATCCAGGGTCATACTAGGTGTACGTGTTTGTGCGTGCGTATGTATGTGTGTTGGGAGGTGATGGTTACGGGGAGGGGCTCATCTGACAGTGTGTTATGTGCACTGAACGGTGACATGGTTACTGCCACCTCTGCAGAGGGCCTCAAATATATAGACTACAGAACATTTAACTTGATTACTTATAGTACGTATTCAGAATGGTTGTAGGGATGCATTTACAGTGAATGGGTTTTTCTTGTGGCAGGTTTTCCCACATTGAATCCTGTAATTGACAAAGAGCTATTGCACTATGTCAAGCACACAGTTATAATTGAATTAATGATATATGCATGTGTGAAACGCAAAATTAGTATTTGGAGAGACATGGTTTCTAATTTTTACATAGTTGTATCAGCACTCATATATAATGAGAAACTGTATGTGCCCGATCTAGCAAATCAAAATAAAACTGTGGTAGTGTCTTCGTAATTAATGATACTTTCTGGCTTCTATATTTTGTTCATTAAATGTCTCCTCTTTCCTGTTTTTCTCTTTGTTGTAGGAGATGGTTTAGACAACAGTGTAGCCTCACCTGGTACAGGGGATGATGATGACCCAGACAAGGACAAAAAGCGTCAGAAGAAAAGAGGCATTTTCCCCAAAGTAGCAACAAATATCATGAGAGCGTGGCTTTTCCAGCATCTCACAGTAAGTGGTGCCCAAAACGAAAATAGATTTCTATTCATGTGCTTAATGAGGTTTATTCATAGTTATTAGAAATCAATTGTCCCCATAATTTTTGGACCATTATTAGGAGTCAATTATGCTACTTTTTTTTGTTGTTGTTGTTGTTCTAGTTTGTTGTTTTCTTTTTCTTGGCTCTTGGAATCATGACAAATCTGAAAAGAAACCTATATATATGTATATGTGTATATATATATATATATATATATACACACACATACATGCCTATACAGAGAGAAAGAGAGTACAAAGCCGTAGCGTGGAACAACACCTACATATAAAATAACATATTTTTTTTTGCTTTGAACTATTCAAAATGTTCCTAAGGACAAAAAAAAGGGGTTTCTTGCTTTAGCATCTATAAAGCTCTGCCTTCTGGATTCTTTATTGCTGGCCTCTGTTTACACAAACTTCAGATGTATGTGGTGGAAGAGAGAGCCCCAGTCTGTGTGTGCTGACATACACTGTGGATGGTAGAGGAGTCAAAGCAGCAGCTTGCAAACTTGTCATTGTTACTTTTTGTGAGAAATACAGAAGGCTTACAGGTTCCCTAATTCTTCAGTTGCATAACAGAGAGAATAAGCACCTTTTTAGATTCTCTTCAAGTCCATTATGTTAAAAGCTAGCCATATTCACATTTCGGGGAGAGAGATTAAATATGTGAAAAAGCAATGCTTTCCATGGCTATCTTTATCCTCCTGATTGCAGTCGGTTTTATGTGTTGGTGTTCTGTTGACTATTATAGCTTCACTTAGGCATCAAAACATGGTTCCACAGAAAACCTAGTAACACTCTTTGTAGTTTACTTCATGTGGGAAATAATGGAAACTGGTAAAATTATCAATTGATTTTCCTCTTCCTCTCACTGTAAAATTGTTTCTCACTTTATAAGGCTTAAAATGCTAACTGTTATTAACTGCCTCTCCTTCTACCAAAGTTTTATAAATTTCCACGGTAGCTGGTGTTGGTTACAGTATAATGATTTCAGGACAAGGTACCCGATTTATTTATGATAGGACTATCGAACTGCTCTGCTAGCAGCACAGCTAAAGGGGGGGAGCAATAGATCCACATTTCTAAACCATCATTTTGATGTAAGGACATTAGTAGCAAACTAAGGTGCATTGATCTGGCCTGTGGGGTCAGGATTAGCTGGAATAGCCAGTGTCTCTGCTGGAGTAGTGGTTATTCCTGCCTTCCAGCTATGGCCATTTCAAAGGTCAGGTGCCCTGTACCCACTTGGCTCAGAGGAATTAGACAGAACATGAGTCTCTGGGCTGATTACTTAACCAAAGACAAAATAATGAGTCCTAAGCAAATACTGACTAATTGAAAGGGCTGTAAATCCATTACATATTGGTCAGGGATAATCAGGAGTATTTAATCACTTTTATCTATTCAGGAGCACTGAAGCTGCAACAGCAAAGCCCTGAACCTTGCCATGTGCTTATTATTCTCATCATTATCAAAATTACTTCACAGCTGTTCTTTGCTACATCACCTCAGCTGGAGATTTACTAACCTGTAAAATGTTTTTAATTTGGAAGTCGAGTGAGTGTGAGTGGAGGGTTTTTCATTTAGCTGTAGGGTATCTTTAGAGGAGTAGTACAGGCAGACAGCAAAGAGCAGGGCCATAAATAAACCAGTTTGTTTTGTACATGTCTCTGTGTTAACTCCATTTCCTCTTATGAAATTTGTGATATCTTGGGTTTTTTTCTCCCTGCCTTCCTTTCTCACGTGCTCCTTGAAAGCATTTGACACATGCTTATTAAACAGTCAACTGCCTCTTGCTTCTCTTGAGGAAAGTCCTCCTGGCTTTTTGAAATCCCTTTCCCTTGTTTCTATCCTCTCTCTCTCCTGACCCTCTCCATCCTGCATGAATTGAGGAAATTTGCCATCACTGGTGAGGATGGCCTTGCAAAAATCAAATTAAATGAACACAAAAAAGCCCCAAACCTTTTACCGTCCAAGCTTTAATGAGTTTGCAGGTGTTGAAAGATTTACTGTGCTGTAATTCTCAGACCTGCAAACTGATAATGGAGACCCCTGACCAGTGCAATGTAAATTCAGAAAGGTTCTTGCCATAAACACATGCAGGGAAGGAAGAGAACTCCTTTCTTTTAAAGATCTCGCACTTTTTCTCAAATTAGCTTGTCCATTCAAAGTGCAACGCTGGCTGAGCCAGAACGGGGGAATCTGTGATGTACAATTTTATTGTTTCAAGTAAATATCTTCACAATGGCGGTCCATGGTTCAATGTACATTCCTTCATTACTACTCTAACCTTATTTCAAATTGGTTTGTTCCTCTTTTGTGCTGTATGACCTGTTCTTGTATTACAATAATCCCCTGATGTACCCTTTTTTCTTTCTCTTTTTTTTTTTTTAAAAAAAAAGAAACTAATTGAATTATCTCATTATTTTAATTTGTTAAGCAAATGTATTTTACATCTCAGGATGTGTTCTTAAAGAAGGAGCTGCTTAGGCTTTGCCCCCTGAATGGGCCATTGGTACATTTTGACATTCATGCATTCATTAAGGAGAGGAACATAAAAGAGCTCTGGTTGTATTTTTTTTTCAAACACCCAACCAGCATGGAGCAACTTTTCCATAAGCCACAGGGGTCTCTCTACATATGTTCTCAACTGCAAGCCATTGTCACCTATTCTGAATACCTCAAAAGGACAAATAAAATACTAAAGGCCAACTGTAACAATTGTTAGCTGTTAGTCTCAATATGACAAAAATCATTAACCTCTGGTTTCCCTGGAAGGAGAGGCAGTGGCAGGCCCTCTCTTATGGCATGGATTAAACTTGAAATTCGTTTAGACTGTCAAATTAAAAGAGAGTAACTCAGTTCTGACTAATTGTATGTACTTATTATTTTAAATAAAATGCTATTTTTTTTCCTTTATTCAATCAGTTTGCAAAGTCCTAAGGTAGCTGATTTTAAAACCAGAATTAACTAAGTGGCTTTTTTGAAGAGATAGGCTCTTGAACTCTGATGTAGAATAAATGTATGTGATAGGCTGTGTCTTTCAAAACAATTTCTAACCCCTATCGCAGCTTCCATTTTGCAGTAACTTTAATTATATTTGAAATAGGACACACATGCATGAAAATTAGATGCAAGGAGTAGGAGCTTCTGTCATGTTCTTGTTCACTTACTGAGCTCTGTCTTACATTTGGAATTACAACAGTACCGGAAGATGAAAGATCTGAGGATGAATTGGTTGGAAATGTGTATGCTTTTTCTGGATAATATCCAGTGTTTAAGAAAGTAGAGGAAATCCTAGTCTGGTAGTATAAGCTTTTCAATAGTACATAAAGATTACGACATCAGAAAGGTAAACCTGACATTGAGGCTGTTTTTATTTGAGTTCAAAGGTGGTTAAAGAAAAGAAACAGCAAGAAATCTGACCCAAGCCGAGAGTTTATTCATAGCTTTGGAAGACTCCTTTTCCTCTATGCCAAGGAGTCTTTAGTACACTCAATTAGCCTCTCAGACATCTCTGCTTTCCTCCCTCAAGTGCTCCCCTATTTGCCCTGCAAAGAACATATTTGATCACGAAGTGAAAACAGGAAGTGCTCAAATGTATAGACACCTCTCGTTTACACCAGTGTTGAGATTAGGATTTCTTACCAGCAGCTATACAGAGCTGGCCCCCCCTCCTCCTGTGCCCTTTTGAAGGATGGAGGACCTTTAAAATGTACGTACATAATCAAAAGAGAGCAAAGTTATAAAGGAAGTAATTATACAATTCTATGGACTTGTACCTCTGGTAGTTCATCCCTTTCTGCAGCACAGTTTATCAAGGACTACACTTCTGCTTCAATCAACATTTTTTCTCTTTCCTTTACAGAGCTGGTAGAACAGAGATGCATTTATTCTTTGACACTTACGTGGAGTGATGCCCTTTGTTAAAATTCTATTTGGGGTGTTTCCATTGTTACAGTCTGTAAGAAGATGTATATCTTAACTGAAAGTACCAGATATACCAATGGTAGCCTGCAAACTAAACCTTTTTTATGATAGTGCCAGATTCCAAGTTGATGGTATTTCAGATGGCTCTCCTGAAGTCAGTGGAGTTGAGCTAGCTGAAGTTCTATCTCTTAACGTTTGTTTGAACTGTATCATTTTAGCTTGATTTACACAATCTGTCTGAAAGTCTTGCTCCTTACACAGTCTCTTGTAGAGTGGATTTTGGTTTCATCGGCCTTGGTGTCAGGCTAGGTAACTTCTGCTGGAATGTGTTAAAATGAACCAGCCACAGCTTTTGTACTTACCTGAACGAATTTTATTAACTTCCCATATTCAGGAGGCCAGACTGAATAATGTGAATAGTCTTACTGAAAGAGACTTTTCCCCGCCCTGTATTTATGTGGGTGTACCTGAAAATATCATGTATCTTTACCATACTTTGATGAATGGCTTACCAAGCCTTTTGTACAGGGCAGCTATTTTATTTATTCATTAGATTTGATTCTAGAGATAAATGTCGTCAACCAAAGCCAATCTTGGAGCAAGATTTCAGAACAGTTGAAACCATCCCACCTTCATAAATATCTCCTCTCATATCGTGATTGTAGGAAAAACACCTAAAGGAGGGTTAGGAACACAGCTGGCTATTGCGCTCCATACTGAACAGCTTACTTTCATATCAAACAGTAGAACAGCTTTCCTCAGAGTCTTGATCCGGGAGAAACATTCTTCATATTGCTGGTTTTGCTGTATTTTAAAAAAATTTTAAAAAAGCTGAGAATACAACAGACCTTTGTCCAGTTAAAATGGTGACAAGAAGGCCGGGAGATTCAAGAAAATACAGGAACGTAAAGACATTCTGGTGAATTTTAGTGCTTGTGTTGGCCACATTGTAATGTGCTATACACTCCCAGGGTACACTGAGGAGATGGGCAATGTCCTCTGATTCTCCTGTAAAATGACCTGCATGTGGATTTGCATGG